TGCAATCGGTTCTCAGCTCTTAAGCCCAGATTAGAGACAAGACATCAGAGATCAGGCATCATGCCCGTATTTTTCGCCTCTACAACTTAACTCAACTCATAAATTGTTGTAACATTATTTCGTATGAGATATACAAAATCACCTGCTGATATCCCTTGGAATTTTATCTGTTGATTTATCAAATAATTGTATTATCTCAACGCTCTCATTTTTTATTTTTCTGTTGACTTATTTTTATAAACACGTAGACTATACACATGACAATAATCACAAATTCAATATTCATTCAACATTATCTTTATTGCACTGAAAAAAAGGTTTACTTGAGCCAAGAAAATATTTTTCTTCCTAATTATTTTCTTGAGGGAAGAAAAAATTTTTTTTGACAAGGAATTTCACTTATTCCAACAAAATTAATTCTCTTGGTTTAAGAAATACGTATCTTGCTCCAAAAAATTTAGTTCTTGATAGAAGTTAATTTTCTTGTCTTGAGAAAATTTCTCTCTTGCTCCAAAAAATTAAATATAAAGATAGAAGTAAATTTTCATTAATATTTTTATTGACTAACATGTCAAATGAGAAGATCAAATAATATTTCATCATTTTTTTTTTCATTCAATATGTATAATTGCACGCTAAAATAATATAAAATGGGTATCAAATATTAAAGAGAAAAATTTTCTCAAGGTAAGAAAATTTTTTTCTCAGCTAAAATAAGTGGCGTTGCTTCCCTAAAGTACCTAAACATCTTGATCAAATATAAAAATTTATTGTATCAAGTATTTATGATAATTTGAATTAATAAAAAATGACTTCCACCAAGAACAGAATTTAAAGAAAAATTTTTACTTCGGTTTTCCTTCAGAAACCCGAAAATTTTCTTGAACCAAGAATTTCATTCTCCAGTCAATAAATTTATTTAGATATTTACTGGAGCATTGAAATATCTCATTCTCATTGCCAAGGGTAATTTTCACTCGAATATCATTACACTCTGAAATCTATAGCGATTGTAAATTATCTCCTGGAATCTTCCTTCGTCTTGTTCTTCTTCTTCCTCGACGAGGGTATTATATACTCATGGCAAATGCGTGCTACTGAAGATTCCAATCTCGCAATGGAAATCGGAGCTCTGCTCGTTCATCGAAGCGCAACGCTTTTATTCACACAGTCTTTATTATACATCCATCCATATGTATAACATAAATGTATATGTAAGTACTAAACATTAGTGTACACCCCAGGATCGACAGAAACTCAGGTATTTTACGTGCTGCGACATAAATATACGTGTCAAGTTATGTTTACGCATAGACCGTGAATCAAGAAACGCGACTGGCATCCACAAACAATAATATACATACGCAACTCGTATTTTATCAAACATAACAATTGTCCTCTTGCCGTAACCTGCCAATGTAATTTTATTTTTTTTTTTTTATTTTTTATCGCGGCAAGATTTCTCAGACAATCAATGACAACAAAACACTCGTAATAACTTGTCATTTGTTTGAATTTATATTAGTTTTTAAATACTCAGGTGTCGTAAACAAATCTTTGAAACCTTGAACTGTCTACAAGAAGTACAACAAGTACAAGTTATCGTTATTTACTTTTAAAAACTATTCCTCGTGCTGCAATTATTAAAAAATATTATGCATTTAAATATTTCACCAGACCAGCGACTCATTTTTTTTTTTTTTTTTTTACATAATCAACTGCAATACATAATATCGGATAATTAGTACCATTTATTTAAATTAATAAATGTAATAAAAAATAATAATTCTTAATTTAGCAGTCTTGATCATTTTTTAATTTTTTCTTAACAAACAAATTTGTTCCAAAAAATTATTTTAAAAAAATTGCATTTTTTATTTATTAAAATTTCTACAACTCAATTTTTTTTCAAATTTTTTTTTGCTATAATTTATTTGCTAAAAAATTATTTGAATTAAGTAAATAAAAATTCCATTTTTAATTTATTAAAATCTCTAAATGTCCATTTTTCTCTCATTTTTTTTATGCAGTAATTTATTTATTAGAAAAATTATAAAATATCTGCCAAATTAATATGACATTAAAGTTAGCTGTCACCATAATAATACCAAAGTTAGCCATTTTTAATTTTTTGATTATTTTTCATTTATTTAATTAGAACTAAAAAATATTTTTAAAAAATTGCACTTATAGTTTTTCAAGTTTTTTACAAGTGAAATTTTTTTTTATTTTTTTGTAGTAATTTTTTCAATAAAAAAAAGTTGTTCAAATTTTTAGATGTCGGCTAACTTAATTTTCATGTCACCTGACCACTTTTTAACTTTATTTAACAATTAAATTAATTATAAAAAATTATTTTTAAAAAAATGCATTTTTTATTTTTTTAAATTTCTAGATGTCAATTTTTTTTTCTTATTAATTATCAAATATTTGCTAAATTAATTTTCATTTTTTTTTTTAGTGTAAAAAAATTAAATATCTGCTGAATAAATTTTCATTAATTCTTACCTTTGTGTTTGCGCCACTGTCGGTATAAAAAAATAGTAACAGCCAAAATAAGGATAGTTGTTAAAAAAGTTCCAATAACAGCTCCAGCAATACTGCCTGGTCCATAGCAGAGTGTTCCCTGATCAGCCTCTTCCGCCATATTCCGGTATCGTCTTCTTACTCTTAATAATTATTTTCAAAAATAAAAAGTCATATCGTTTAACAACTAACGCACACTTGTTCACTGTAAATAATTATTTGCTCACGAAAATATCACACATAAGTTATATTAATAAATATCTTTCACTGTCGCATTATCTGGTGAAGAAAAACTCCGCGTGCTAGCTGTTGTTAAATTACATTAAGACATTTCACACGTAATTTAAAACTTGTTAATAATTTACCAATTATTGTTGATCAATCCGATGAGATATCAATGAAGATATAAAAACAAAAATGACAATTATCAATTTTATTTAATCAAATATTGAAGATATGAATGATAATGCCACGTAATCGGTGCCAATGCATATTATTATATGGCGAGGACACGATAAATAAAACTGTATGCAGCGGGTACGGCAAACTCCGAGTGCTAACTCTGACTGTCAGAGAAGCGGTCTGGTACTTGGTCTCGGGTCTCGGGGCCTCCAGCCAGAGCCCACCTCCTCCAGCCACCTCTAGCAAGTCCTAGTGTAGTGCGTTGTACAGTCGCCGATATAATACCGCGAGTACCAGTACTATACAGAGGATCCACCGATCCAACGTACACAGTGTAGAGCACACAAGTGAAACAGGTAGGCGCGTTCGGCAACAGGTGCTTGTTGCTTGTTGCTTCCGAGTGGGGCTCAAATTTCGAGGTGCGGCAATTATTATTATATGTCGATTTACGTATTAATACGCACACACACTTACCTCCTATCTTTACTTATATTATTTCTGAGCCTTTTCTAGCACACTCGCCAATTTTAATTATTATTATGTCTTTATGTTTCACAACTTAAGTGACGAACCTGAAATATATGTCACTGTATGTAAATAAATTCATGCTTAGATATTTAAGTGACGTTTGATAAGAATTGTCTTTTATATTTACCTTATTTGCTAGTTGTTTAAATTAGAAAAATATTATTTTTTTTCTTTGGTAAAATTTATAAAAATTAATTTAAACTCAATAATTATTTATTTAGTTTATCTTAGAATTTTAAGAATTTTTGTAACAAATTAATGGAAAAAAAATTGACAAGTAGAAATTTTAAAAATTAAAAAATGCAATTTTTTAGAACAAATTTGTTTATTAGAAAAAATTAAAAAAATGGTTTAGACAGCTGATTTTAATGTTATGTAAAATTTTAGATGAGAAAAATTTATGAAAGTTAAGTTAGCTGACATTTAAAAATTTTTATAATTTTTTCTTAATGACAAAATAATTAAAAAAAAATTTTCATTATTAAAAAACTTGAAAAACTATAAGTGCAATTTCTAAAAAATATTTTTTAGTTACAATTTAATAAATAAAACAATATAATAAAATTAAAAACGTCGGCTAACTTTAGATAATACTAGTGTTAGCCGACGTTTTTAATTGTTAGATTTTTTTTCATTAATTAAATTAGAACAAAAAAATATTTTAATAAAATTACACGTACAGTTTTTCAAATTTTTTACATGTGAAATTTTTTCTTCTAATTTTTTTTTAATAATTTTATTGATATAAAAAATTTCAAAAATTTTCAGCTGTCTGCTAATTTTATTTTCAACTAGTATTATAATTTTTTTTATTGAAAAAAAATTATTACAAACACTTAAAAAATTTGAAAAACTGTAACTGCAATTTAAAAAAAAACATTTTTTAGTTATAATTTAACAAATGAAACAAAATCAAAGAAATTAAAAATGTCGGCTAATTTTTTTATTATAAAAATTTTTAAAAGAAAAAAATTTTAAAGAAATTTTTAGATTTTTATTTTTAGTCTAAGACACTTATAAAAATTCTTTTATAATTTTACAGAAATAAAATTATGAAAAAAAATTCAAAAAATATTATTAGTGTAAATTTTTAAAATAATTTTTTTATTATGACTTTTTATAAAAATTAAAAATATTGACAGCTGTCAGCTAGCTTCAGTATCATTTTAATCAAGTGTTGGTATAATTATGACAGACAAAAAAGTAGACCACTTACTTATCGAAGCGCCCCCGTGTCAGTAATGTAGAAACAAAAATAACCGCAATAAGCTTTTACTATCATGGCGCTGCAGTAGCAATTCCTGTAAATTTATTCAGTGGATTGTGAAAGAGAATCTTTTTCTTGCGCACACACTTATCTGTAATTTTTTTTTAATAAGAAAAAAATAAGAATGCTTGACATCAATATAAAATTAAATAACATCAATCATAAGTATTATATAAAATATCTCCATTTTCTATAAGTTACCGTAATGAGATCACTTTCAGTAATAAAATAATTGGAATAAATCTTAAAAAAATTAAAATTATAAATTTTACTATTAATGACAATAAAATATTCTAAACCAATGATTAAAAATGAATCAATGAACAGATATGGTCCACTGGTTGGAGCAATCGATGAAGGAACCAGCAATGTGAGATTTATGGTAAGTACTATAATTATTTATTCAATAATTCATCTTTTATGAGTGAGTAATTAATTAATTAATTGTTTTTTTGGAAGGTGTTTGCAGCAGACACTGCTGAAGTATTGACATATCACCAGACAACGATACCGCTGTTGAATCCTGAAGAAGGATGGGTTGAACAGGATCCTATTGCTATTATAAACGCTGTGAGAGAATGTCTGAAACAAACAGTAATTAATCTCGAGCAACTTAGGATAGATCCGGCAGATATAGTTGCTATTGGAGTGACAAACCAACGAGAGACAACACTAGTTTGGGATTATGTCACTGGGGAGCCATTATACAACGCCATAGGTAATTATTTTCCTCAATAATTACCAGAGAATTATATATTATATATTATCGCTAATTGTGTTACATAAAATATCAATTAATACTCAATATAATTTGTTTGCTTAGTATGGATGGACACGCGAACTTCAGTAATTGTTGATGACATATTAAAAGGAATTCGTAATAAAAACAAAAACTACCTCAAGCCGCTATGTGGTTTACCAATAAGCCCTTACTTTAGTGCATTAAAATTAAAATGGTTGTTAAATAATGTACCTAGGGTACAAGAAAGTATTGATAATAAACGTTGTATGTTTGGTACAATTGATTCATGGATTATTTGGGTAATTTTTTATATAATTTAATTTTTAATAATTTTATTAAAATTTTTTTTATCTAATTAATATTATTAGAATTTAACTGGTGGAGTAAATGGAGGCGCACACAGTACAGACGTTACCAATGCATCACGTACAATGTTAATGAACATAACGACCTTAAAATGGGATACAACTTTACTTTCATTTTTTAATATTCCGAAAGAAATATTACCGCAGATACGCAGTTCTTCGGAAATTTATGGATTTATTCATGATGATATGCTTAAAGGTGTACCGATATCGGGTGTAAGTACTTAAATACTCATAAAATTATCTGCTAAATTATTGAAATGGTAATTTAAAATTTTACTATTAGTGCTTAGGTGATCAGCAGTCTGCGTTGTTAGGGCAAATGTGTTTACAACGTGGTAAAGCTAAAAGTACATATGGTACTGGATGTTTTCTTCTTTATAATACAGGGACTTCGGTATGATTTATAATCATGATTATTATCTCTATATTATTATTATAATTATTGATTATTTATTTATCAATTAAATATGGTTGATTTTAGATGGTACAATCTAAGCACGGCTTATTAACCACGGTAGCTTATCAATTAGGACCAAAATCACCGCCAATTTACGCCCTAGAGGGCTCAATAGCCATAGCAGGAATAATATTAGATTGGTTGAGAAATAATCTAAATATATTTATTGATAGTTCTAATGATACTGAGTGCATTACTCATAAACGTTCAACGATGGACGTTACATTTGTACCAGCATTTACAGGTCTTTACGCTCCATATTGGAACAAAGATGCTAAAAGGTATTATTATTAATTTTAATTTTGCTTCATTAAATAATGACTTTTGTTAAATTGCACTGTACTTTCTTAAATATTGACGTTTTAAAAAATATAAACTCATCCTGATATTACACTCATCAAGAGCTTTCATTTGAGTACCCACATGCATTTTGATATATTTTTCATATATATATAATATATATATAAATATATGAAAAATTGATGTGGGTACTCAAATGAAAGGTCTCGATAAGTATAACATCGGGATGAGCTTATATCTTTAAAAATGTCAATAGTTCACAAGATACAAGGTCATTTCTTAATTATATTAAATAGCACTGTACTTTTTTAACTATTGACATTTTTAAAGATATAAGCTCATCCCGATGTTACACTCATCCAGAGCTTTCATTTGAGTACCCACATGCATTTTGATATATTTTTCATATATACATATATATATATATATATATAATATATATAAATATATGAAAAATTGATGTGGGTACTCAAATGAAAAGTCTCGATGAGTGTAACATCGGAATTAGCTTATATCTTTAAAAATGTCAATAGTTCTCAAGATACGAGGTCATTTATTAATTATGTATCTCAAATCAAGACCTTTGCAATGACACTAAATTTCCCTAAAAAAACCAATTTTATCATATGACTATCCTAGAAACAAAATTTTTTTATTCTCTTAATAATATAGATCATTCAATAGACTATCAATATACACCTTTTTGAATTATTACAGTATTATTTGTGGTATTACCTACAACACAACAAGTACTCACATAATAAAGGCAGCTTTACAAGCTATTTGCTTTCAAATCCGCGATATTTTAGAGTCTATAAAAAAGGACACAGGCTTCACATTAGGAAAACTGCTTGTTGACGGATCCATGACCAGTAATAATTTATTAATGCAAATGCAAGCTGATATTTGCGGTATTCCAGTTGGTAATTAATTAGTTTAATTTAAAAATTATTCATCCATAATTAAATCAAGCAAATCAGTAGTAATTAAATTGATTGAATAATTAATTGATTTAACAAGGAAGTCAGGCCTTTGATGAGTGAAACTTCAGCGCTGGGGGTTGCGATTGCTGCTGGCTGTGCCGATGGGATTAAAGTTTGGGATCTCAAAGTAGATACCGCTGTGCCAAGTGATATTTTCATGCCAATGATTGTTGATGATGGTAATTTATTATAATAAAACAAAAATGATCCACTAAATTAGTTAATTAATTAATTAATTAAAAAAATATATTTCAGAACGAGATATTTTGTATGAACAGTGGAAAATAACTGTTGAAAAAAGTTTCGGCTGGGAATCTTCCGATGATGCAAAGTGTAAGTAATTATTTCGCGTTCCAGATGCCATAAGGGCGTATAATAAAAATTCTATTATTTTTTCTAAGTCCAAAAAAATTTTTAGTTAGAAGAAAAAATTTTTTTTTGCATTTCTGTACATTTCATGAAAAAATACGTCAGTTCCAAAAAAAAAAAATTTTTTTTCTACTAAAAATTATTTTTGGACTTAGAAAAAAAATAGGATTTTTATTATACGCCCTTATGGCATCTGTAACGCAATTTATGTACCAGAAATTAATTAAAATTTTTCCTTTTTTTTTAGATGATGCTTCCACAGATATTTATAGAATAACCTCAGGTGGAATCTTCGCTTTAAGCACAATAATTATTTTAGCAATAGCTAAATATCGATCGACCGTATGACAGAATTTAAAAGGATAAAAATTCTAATGAAACGCATTTGATAGTCAATAGAACAAAGAGCCATTGTTAAATCAAACAAAATAATTTGTTATTCAAATAAAAATGTAAAAAAATTTAAAGTAGTCGATGGTTCTACTTCTTACGATGCAATTGCTTGTCTATAAGAACCATCCGGTCCATAAGTATCTCGTGGTTGTTCTCTTGAGGCTTTTGTGCAATTGTTTCAGTTGGTAAGATATCAAGAATTCTATCGTGAGTAGACTTTTCGTCTACCACTGGCGCATCACTAAGCAACCAATCATCGGATTTAATAGTGTCCATTTTAATCCGCGACTGCTGAGGTACTAAAATCCTACGGATCAATGAACGGCAAGCGTAGGACACTTTGGGGTCTTTGGGAAATTTAACGTGGTTCTGCACTTGCTAATAATTAAATTAAAAAAAAAATTGTTTTAATTTTGGGATTATTTTTTTAAGTTGTTCTCAAGACAACACTAGTTTCTTAATATACCTTGGTACCTTTAGAAGTTGTCCGTAATTTTTATCGTCAAAGGGAAGACGACCGTACACCATCGCGTACAATACGACGCCCAGTGACCAGATATCAGACATCTGAGGCTGATAAGGAATACCGCGTAGGATTTCTGGTGATGCGTAGGCATAACTCCCGCAAAATGTTTCACTTAATACTATTGTACCGTCGGTTTTGGTTACTTGACCCCGTGCGAATCCAAAGTCCGATAATTTTATGTTTGAACTCTTGTCCATTAATAAATTTTCACATTTTATGTCTCTGGAATATATTTGCTGATTAAATGAAAATTTATTTTGCGGATTTTCAATCATTTTTAGAATTTTTTTTAACAAATAAATTATAGAAAAAAATAATAAGAAAAAAAATTGACATGTAGAAATTTTAAAAAATTATAAATGCAATTTTTTAAAAATAATTTTTCAGAAAAAATTAATTTGTTAAATAAAATTAGTTAAATTAATTTTTAGAATTTTTTTTTTAACAAATAAATTATGACAAAAAAAAATTGATATGTAGAAATTTTAAGAAATTATAAAAACAATTTTTTAAAAATCATTTTTTAGAAAAAATTATTTTGTTAAATAAAATTGAAAATCCTTAGCTGTTAATTTTAATGATATGCTGATTAATTAAATTATTATTGAGTTATAAATTAAAATTAAATGTGTATTTAAATACCGATGAACAATTCCGCGTGTGTGACAGTAATCAACAGCATCAACAAGTTGCTTGAACCATTTGCGGCTTCTTTTTTCATCAATATATAAATCGCGACGGATTGTGTCTAATAAATTTCCATTTTGTGCAAATTCCATTATAATATAGACTCTATATTTAATAAAATAATTATTTGTCAAGTTAATTTGTTTTGGTCAAGCTAATTGATAATTAGGTACAAACCGATGAGTTGTTTCAATGGCTTGCAAAAATCGGATCAAGTTAGGATGCTTCAAACCTTTGATAACTTCAATTTCCCTTGGAAGGAATTTCATCAAATAATCGGACGGCGCTTGGAATTTTGAAATTATTTTGATGGCTACTTGACATTTATGTCGATACGATTCAGCGATCTAGAGAATTTTTTAATAAACTAATATTAAATAAATATTAATTAAATTTATCGATTTAAATTACTTTTACTGTTGCATATGAACCGTTCCCGATAGTTTTTCCGATAGCATATCCATGTGTTTCAAGCACTGTTTGCTTCCTTTCAACTTGTTCATTATTTTTTTCATCAGAGATGGTATTGTTTCCTGACGTCGAGGGAACGTCAATCGCGGCTGTTTCTGCCATTTTATTAAATTTAGTTTTCTAACCATTTATAATTTTGAATATTTCTATAACTAGTCTTTTAAGTTTGATGAATATTTAATAATCTAATTTTTATTAGCACTCAATAATTTTTAGTTAAATAATGATTATGATAATCCAATAAGATTTGAAGAGAAGAAATACAAGATGTTTGTAAATAACATTAAAAACAATTGAATAAATTAAATTTATTCAACGTAAAAAATTTATTAAGTAGCAACCTTGCAGTCACTATGTGACTGCCGTGACTTGTAAACTATAAATAAATAAAATTTTGCTTTATTAAATTATGAATTTTGTTAAATTGCACTGTACTTTTTTAACTATTGACGTTTTTAAAGATATAAGCTCATCCCGATGTTACACTCACCGAGATCTTTCATTTGAGTACCCACATGCATTTCGATATATTTTTCATATATACATATATATATAATATATATAAATATATGAAAAATTGATGTGGGTACTCAAATGAAAGGTCTCGATAAGTATAACATCGGGATGAGCTTATATCTTTAAAAATGTCAATAGTTGACAAGATACAAGGTCATTTCTTAATTATGAATCTAAAATTGACTTTTAGACTTTAAGACCTTTGTAATGACATTAAATTTCACTAAAAAAACCGATTTTATCATATAAATATCCTGGATACAAAATTTTTCTTATTCTCTTAATAATATGGTGAAAATTTTTTATTTCTTCTTTAATTTTTTATTAAAAAAAAAATTTGCTTATTTAAAAAATTATTATAAATTATCAAATTAAAATTAGCAGTCACTTGGTCATTTTTTAATTTTTTTTAATAAGTAATTAAATTTACTCCTAAAAATTATTTCTAAAAAATTTAATTTTTCTATTTTTCTAAATGTCAATTTTTTTTATATAATTTATTTGTTAAAAAAATTCTAAAATATGTTAATTAATTTTCATTACAAATTTCTATTATTAAAAATAAATTAAAATAAAAAAAAAAATTATTGAAAAAAAATTTTTAAAACTTGCCGCTAGTATTAGTTGAACTTCCCTCCGCATTAGAGACCTTGGCGGCTTGCTCAAACGGCGCTGAAAGCAGAAAAGCAGACCCCGTAGGTACAGTGTGTGGTGCAAGGTACTTTGTATACTTTGTAGGTATAGGTAGATGTGGTATATGATATGCGGGGACAGATGTATACACATATCTATACATATATATCTATACACCCATAAGTGAAGATATATATGTGGGTTGTGGATCTGAGTGAAGTCGCAAGAATCCCGAGTCGGCTCGGCAATATGGCCGGTCAGATGTGTAGCAGTAGGGTGTCAGTGTGGTGTTAGTGTCCGTTATTTATGTCGAATTATCGCAAATCCTGTCCGAACCTCGCGTGTTTTCATGGAATCAGTGAGATATTGTGTCGCGGAAGAAATTCTATTTGCATGAGGGCATAGCACTTACCCCCCACAGCCATGAAGTAAGTACTCAGTATCATATACATCTATACATGTATACATAAACTCAATAGTAACCAACTTACAATTATTTCCTCCCTCTTTGCAATATTATATATGTATACAACACTCGGTACCGAGAAGACAAGAGAAAAGAGCGACAACGGCTTCTGGTCAACTCTCACTATTGAGAGTCCATTGTTTATCATTTTCGTACCTGCGATTCAATTATTATCCTACCCTACAAACTGGCAAACATCAATGCCAATGTACTGTCGACATAACATTAAAGTTAGCAGTGACTTTACCATTTTTTAATTTTTTTTTTAACAAACAAATTTGTTCCAAAAAATAATTGCATTTTTTATTTTTCTAAATTTCTAAATGTCAATTTTTTTTTTACTTTTTTTTCCATTATTTATTTATTAAAAAAATATGAAAATAAATTCAGCAGATGTTGAATAATTTTTAGAATTTTTTTTAACAAATAAATTATGGCAAAAAAAAATTAGAAAAAAAAATTGACATGTAGAAATTTAAATAAATAAAAAATGCAATTTTTTTAAAACTATTTTTTGGAACAAATTTGTTTGTTAAAAAAATTTTTTTAATTTTCTAATGACTGCTAACTTAAATATAATTTTAAAAAAGTGTTAAAATTATAAAATATCTTATGAATTAATTTTCATAATGTCGACATTATTTTTCTACATGCATTTACCTGAACCAATAATGTGGGCCATTAATCGAGGGCGTGTTTTTTTTTAATATTTAAATATTTCATTGTTTAAAAATTAAAAAAAAATTTGTTATTGTTAAAAATAAATCAACTTAATGACAGATGTATTTTAAAACTATTTTTATAGACTGCGGACCAGCTGTTATATTTAAGTTTTATTTTTTTCTTCACAAAAAGACACATGTTCATGGTTTTCATTCCATCTACATCGAATCGAGTGCTTTAGATATGATAAAAAAATCTATTTTTCTATTTACTTTAATAGAATATTTTCCGTAACAGCAATAAACTGATAAAGAATGTACTGTTTACTCTGGTAAGATAAAGCTAGTGTAAGAATAAAAATCAAAGAAGAATAAAAAGATGACACTGAAATTAGCAGTCTAAAAATTTTTGATTTTTTTAAAATTAAATAACGAAAAAAATATTTCTAAAAAATTGCACTTATAGTTTTTCAAATTTTTTACATGTGAAATTTTTTCAATGAAAAATTTCTAAAAATTTAAAAATGCCAGCTAATATAAAAAGGTATTATTTACTGAGTAAGTACACCCAAAAATTGAGAAGAAATAAATAATTAAAGGTGTGTATTAACAACAGATGTTGCGCAAAAATGTATTTAGTCACTCGTTTCACTTCCAATGTCTTATAATTTATAATGATAATAATACTAATAAATTTTATGTGTATTATATTGTAAAGAATGACGCATAGCCTTGACTGTCGATAAATCACGAAACTCGTTTCCTCAAAGCTCTTAATTCGAGGATATCAAGTTTTATTCTACATTGTTAATCTATGAGTAAATTAGTACGACAAAACAGTGTTTTAAAATCGGAGATTGTTTTTAAGATAATGACGGCTAAATAATGAAAAAACAAAACCTGAAAAAGAAGAGTCATACGTAGTTTTGTTGGGCGTCAAGGGATTAATGCTGCTATTTCGCTGGGGGTGTTTATTCGTCCCCAATTCGGGAATCACCCTCTACTCGTAGCTCGCCCTTGCAGTTCGGATAGAATTTTACGCAGTACAGGAGAATAACGAACCCATAAAATAAAACCAGGGATATGTCTAAACGAATATATGTATATAATTTAAGAAGTACAGAGGGGATGAAACACTGACAGAGTCAGCCGGATGCACGTTCTCTCGTGTCCTTGCCCAACGTGTTTCTTCCTCGCGTGTTAACAAGAGTAGAGGGAAAAAAATATAAGAGACACTCCAAAAACAAACGTCTATCATTACATTATATACTACATTACACACGAAGTTTCTATTCACAATTAAATGGTATGGGCTCGACGACCCACCGACTTTGATACTGCTCAATGTCACTCTACTCCGTCTTATTGACGTGGAATTAATAACAAAACACATAACAATTCCATACCAATGGTACAAATATTTACAAAATATCAAGCAAAAGTATGGATGGCCAAAGATTGTTAAATTAAATATAAATATTGAATTTCATTTTTTGACGTGATGTAAAATGGAGCAAAAACTTCCTCTTATTAATCACATTCCTGGCTTTAAACAGCAACAGTATCACAGTCTATTTTTTTCTTATATTATCTGTGCCGAGATTTAGAATTTGGAGTAAAATGAGATGTTTAAAAGTGACACAGCTGAGAAAAAAAATAGCAGTTTAATCAACAGATCGCTTTTGTCTTTTTATGACACTCCTGCTGTTCGAACCTCTTCTCACCAATAATAACTCCCCCAGGGTTCCAGTCCTACTGGTATTGGTACTGCTAGCACTTTCTGTACTGACGTGACTGACGGTAGATTTACATTCATTCCGACTCTTATTGTCTCACATAATCACGCTAACACAACGATAACTTTGTCCGTTAATGCATTCTGTTGATTTTTGTTTTGTCAAAACAATAAGTTTCCATTACATTGTCTTGCCTTTTTAAAAACTAACTCGTGTCATATGTTTAGCTTTGTTATTATACTTGCATCAACAATTCACGCGGTCTTTATTATTTTTGATAAATAAAAAAATTAAATCAGGATTTTTTCTTCAAGCTAAATAAAATAAAATAAAAAATTTAGGTGATTATTTACAAGTGAGGTCAACCCCATTTTGAATCATAACTATTTATAGCGATAATATTTAGCAATTTTTTTTAGTAATATTAACATTGCAAGAGTTGAATGTTAAATTTAAAATTATAATCAAATTAAATAGATTTTTAGTAATTATTAATATGACATGCTCTGAATTGGTATTTTTAATTATGCAAAATATTTAATATTTTATTGTTTCAATTTTTTATTTTTAAAAGTTAATGGTAATTATTTATAAGTGGGGTCAACCCCATTTTGGGCCATAACTATGTAGAAAATAAACATTTTTAATTTTTTTTTTATTCTACTTGTTTTTACTGCGCATTTATAATAAAAAATGTCGTGAAAGAAAAAAATTAAGATTTCGATAGCTTTTTTGCCTTCAAAAGTTGGAAAAAATTTTGGCTCTCATGTTTTTGGATAAAATTTCTATTTTATTTTTTTTTTTAAAAGTACATAAAAAAACGAACAATTAAAAAAAAAAAAGTTAAATATCACAATTTTTTTAGAAAATTTGTTAAAATTGTGATAATTAACTTTTTTTTTAAATTGTTCATTTTTTTATCTATTTTTCAAAAAAAAATTTATCAATCAAATCAAATAAAAATTTTTTTCAAAAAAATTAAAATTAAAATCGTTGAACCCACTTGTAAATATTTACAGCACGGGTATAAGTATGACTGTATAATATTTAATATATAACCATATTTTCTCAACTTTATATCTTTAATGTAGACAGTCATTTTGGACGTTACTATTCTTAAATTGCAGAGCAAGAGAGCAAAGAAAATAATCAGAGTAAAAAGTAAGAGGACAAGGAGAAATAAATGTCTGTTGGATTTTTTCTTAAAGACTGCGATATACTAGTGCAGTAGTAGACTACTGCCATTCTTTTCAACATTTCTATTTTCTTGGCATCCTTTGTCTCCTACTTGGTCAGACGTAGATATAAATTTCCAAGAATTTGCAAGAACCAGCATCCAGCATCAACATCAGCATCCCTCTACTGACTACGCTCAACACTCTTTACTCTACACTTAATTCTACTTTATTTATAAATTTTTTTTCATCCTGGTTTGTTGCCATCTCGTGGTTGACTACGACGAAACCCACGGGCAAGAGTAATACTAAACGATGACAGACCGGGTGCTCCGAAGAAAAAACTGGTAGTAGCATACCCATCCTCGGGTGCTGTTTCACTCCTTCCACTTCTACTGCCTTCTACCACCTTTTCATATCCTCTAGTTATTACTCGGCATCGTGTACCACCTGCCTCTTTAAACCATCTTTCGATATTTCACTCGAGTCTCGTCTACTCTATACCTTTCCAACCGGTCAAAACTCTCCGTGTAATTTTGATCCTCCTCTTAATTTTACAACGCAGAACAATTCACTAAAATACAATACAAAAAAAAAAATACAATGTAAGGATTCAATTCAAAAGTGTTGACTTTTATCCGAAATATTTTTTACTCTAAAGAAAAAAAAAAAAAAATCTGTGCATCGTTAAAAAAAGTTTCAGTGCTAAACAAAATATACAAAAATTTTTAATTTATACAAAAAAAAAATAGTTTTATAATGACTTCAATAAAGTGCTTGAGGCTGGAAGTTTATTAAATAAAGTAAAGCAAAAGTTTAACCAAATAAAACGGAGTTTATACCACGAAAGTTAAATATTATAACTAAACAGAATTATCAAAGCAATAGTGTGCCCACATACGCGGTCCTTTCAATTAAACGTCGAGGAAGCTTTTCATAAAATTTATGTCAACCGGTCTTGGTCTGTTATAGTCTTCATGTATGTAGTCAGACAAAGAAATAACTCGAGCACTAATTCTGCGGTCTTAGTCTTGAGAGTTCGTCATCGTTCGTGGTTGCTCGTTAGTCGTGTTAGGAATTAATCAGAAAAGATCTGACGTTCAGACCAAAAAGAGTTCAGAGCCAGGCTTTAACCCAAACAAAAACACTTACTCCAAATTACTCTCTTACGCGATATATCTAATTTAATTACTTAATTAACCGTGTACCTCTCGAGCGTACGGTGGCCACACTGTCACTCTCGGCATTAATCTTTCGTCAGGAAACCTACTTTCTTCAACACTGTTAGTTTATAAATATTTTTAATTAAATCTATATTATTAACAGAGTTCTCTATTTCAAGAAATGACCTTGTATCTCGTGAACTATTGAAATTTTTAAAGATATAAGCTCATCCTGATGTTACACTCATCGAGACCTTTTATTTGAGTACCCACATCAATTTTTCATACATTTTATATATTATATATAATATATATGTATATATGATAAATATATCAAAAATGCATGTGGGTACTCAAATGAAAGCTCTTGATGAGTGTAACATCAAGATGAGCTTATATTTTTAAAAATGTCAATAGTTAAAAAACTACAGTGCAATTTAACATAATTAAGAAATGAACATGTATTTTGTAAACTATTGGCATTTTTAAAGATATTAGCTCATCCTGATGTTACACTCATCGAGACCTTTCATTTGAGTACCCACATCAATTTTTCATATATTTATATATATTACATATATGTATATATGAAAAATATATCAAAATGCATGTGGGTACTCAAATGAAAGTTCTTGATGAGTGTAACATCAGGATGAGCTTATATCTTTAAAAATGTCAATTGTTAAAAAACCACAGTGCAATTTAACAAAAGTCATTATTTAATAAAGTAAAATTTTATTTATTTATAATTCACAAGTCATATAATGACTGCAAGGTTGCTAATTATTATAATTACTACAAACCAACAAAATAATTATTTCATCATAATCATTAACATTAAATAATAATAATTAAAATAAATTTTCTTCTATTCCTTAAAAGTACTTTCGTTTGGAGCGTGAAATAGATATTTAAAAAAAGAGTCGGCGTTAATGCGACAGTTTTTAAGTAAAAGTATTAGGATACACGAGTACAATAGAGAGTAGACTGCTCAACGGGTCTTGTGGGTGTATTAAATTTTAACTTTAAAAGAGTCAAATTTCAAAATGTGCACAGGAGAGGGACAAATGTGTCTGTACTGTTATTATTTATCGTATATATGTGTACTTAAGTTTGTGTAGGCATATTACAAATTGTTGTTATTATTGTTTTTGTTATCATTATCATTGTTGAAAGACATAATGTATTGCACGTATAGAGAGAGCCTGGATCCAATACGTAGGTGTTGTGCGACGGTTCTTATATGGCGGTGTACATACACTCCGGGAAGGAGGAAGTGCATCGACCGGTCTCCCGTGCTCTCCTCTTCGTCAACTAAAACCTTTCTGCGTCCTTACTCTCCTTGTGCTATATAGCACATCCCAGCACCCAGTATTACTCTTGCTCTTTACTTGCTTTTACTCTGGCTCTTGCTCTTGCTCTTGCTCTTGCTGGGGCTCTGTTCTCCAGTGTGCTCTGACTGTTGAGTTCCAAACCAAACTGTATGCTGGAAATATGAGATGAAGTGCGCTCGGGGACCTCCCGGAAGGCTTTGTTGCACAACCTACTTTTTTACTCGCTCTTCTGGTTAACAATGAACCACCACCTCATTTTCAATAATACCCTAGGCGGTTTTGATTATTTTACTCCTCACTTCTATTAATTTTTTATTTTGTTGACTGTAATTGATGTTTTGTTGGATTTTCGTTTGATAAATTTATTTTGATCTCATTGAAGTTTTACAGAATTTTTTTTTATTTAAAAAATTGAAGATTTTTTGGAGTATTTTGAAGTTTAAAAATTTTGTAAAATTTTTTTTACCTTCAATTTTGTTTTAATAAAGTTAGATAAAATTTTTGAAGTATCTGATGATTTTTTTCAATTGATCAATTTAATTATAATTTTACAAAATTTGAAACTATATTATTATTTTTTATTTTTAAAGGATTTTAAATGGTTTAAAAATTGTGTAAAATAATTTTTTTACTAAATTTTAAATTATCTGATGAAATTTTCAATTGATTTGATTTTCTTTTCAATAATTGGAAATTTTTTGGAGTATTTTACAGTTTAAAAATTTTGTAAAATTTTTTTTACCTTCAATTTTGTTTTAATAAAGTTTTTGAAGCATCTGATAATTTTTTCAATTGATTAATTTACTTGAATTTAATAATAATTTCACCAAATGTGGAACTATATTATTTTTTTTTTATTTTTGGGAAACTTTAAACAGTTTAAAAATTTTGTAAAATTATTTTTACCTTCAATTTTATTTTAATAAAGTTAAATAAAATTTTTAAAGCATCTCATAATTTTTCAATTGATCAATTTACTTGAATTTAATTATCATTTTACAAACTTCGGAACTATATTTATTATTTTTTTATTTATGGAGTATTTTAAATAATTAAAAAATTTTTACTAAATTTTAAAGTATCTGATGAAATTTTCAATTGATTTGTTTTTTCAATAATTGAAATTTTTTTGGAGCATTTTAAAAAGTTAAAAATTTGTAAGCAAACATTAAATTTGCAAAAAAAAAGAAAAATAATAAATGAAAAAAATTGAAGGACTCAAAAGTAGAAATAAAAGTTTGAATTAACATCAAACGTTATCTGTAGTTGTAGTGTCCTTAAGTAGAAACGAGGAAGCGTGAGGAAGTGGCAATATCTCGCCACATCCTCAACTCCTTTCCTCCTCTCTCTTCAACTATTTTATTTAAAATATTTGTTCCTCGATTCCTCTGCGCAGCACAAGTAGTTGTTACAGTTCTTGCGTTCAGTTTTAAATTAATATTCAACCGCGGTACTTAGTAAATCATAATTACTCATGTAGATTACTTTATTGCAGTCACTGCCGTTAATCCAATGCTATAAATAAAATAATTTCCTTGTAATACAACAAAATAAATATAATACAATCTGTTTTTAATGTGAAAAAAAAGTTTATCGTAAATGAACAATTACTCGGTAATAAAAATAAAAAAAAATAGACAATGTTGGGCGGTGGAAAGAGCAAGAATATTATTTACTACGAGTGTCACCCGGGACTTCCTAATAGAGTTGTTGATCGAATGTCAAATCGAAGGCCCGTTCACGTGCGTCCTGTAACGGTACACGCCGGTGATACCGATAAAACGGAAAATAATACCGAGGATTCAAGGCGATTAAGGGCCCATCATTCAAGACAATACTCTTGGCAAGAGTCATGGATGTGGTATTAATTTTATTTTAATTTAATTTCTTCTTTATTATTTTTCTGATTAATATTTATAAAAATACATGTAATAAAATATTTATACTTGATTGTTATTCTCAATACAGATAGATTTATCATTATCATATTTTTATTTTTATTTTTATTTTTTATCCACGTCCGTTTTTATTATCGCTCGTTATTTTTTATTCATGTATTTAAGCACTGTTTGTTAATTAGAAATTTTTTTATTTTAATAAATTTATTTGTGATAATTTTTATTGACACTTTACCGTAATAGTATCATATTTTATGGGTTTCATATAAAATTACCCATTGGTTATTTTATAATCCGCTTATAAGGGATTTTTGAGCTTTCATAAATATATATATATAACTGTTTATTTTTTATCCATATTCAATTTCAAAATTTATACGATGTTTTTTTAAGGTAGTTCACTCGGGACATATAATTTGTGCTATTTTTTTCTTTTTTACTCGCTAGTGCTGCCTTTCTCAAGAGTTATCTCTTACTTTTGGTTATTTTTGTTCAACTAGTCAGTTTATTAACAATTTATAAAAAAATTATTTTATTTTATCTATTTATTTATTTAATTTAAATGCCAAGGCAGCAAGCCGAATGGCAAAATTATAAACATTTAAGTATAAATACACGTATGGTTATAGCAAATATTTCCTTGATACAAATCGACGGTCTAATTAGCAATTTGTCTTACTTCTTATTTTTTTGAAGGGTGATTTTTCAACATTTTGATGTAGTAATAATCCAATTATAAATTATTTGAATGATTCAAACCTAAATATTATATGTCTATTAGATATTAATAATATTAAATGGTTTTTTAAAGTGATAATAAATTTTGAACTAATTGTTTTTTTCGTACAAATAGAAGATTTTCTAAAATAGAGTTAGACAATTTGCTAATTAGAACGTCGAAATAATACATTATACAAATAATACATTTTATCGCAATAATAATTTTACTTAATAATGATAGTAGGAAAAAATTAGATTAGTTAACATAATAGTGTAGTGATATATTATATATGTAAATTAACTACATGGTTAAAATTTTCAAACTTTTTTTAGATTATTTTAAGTGAATCCCGGAAAAAATCGACCTGAAAAAAATATTAAAGTTATGAAAAATTCATATTATTTTATTAAAATAATAATAATAATAATAATAATAATAATAATATTTTTTTTTGTAATAAAAAAGGAGCGATAATTCTGATGGGGGTGCTTGTTTTCCAGGAAAATTGTGGGTGTAATACAATTATTATTATTATTATTATTATTATTATTATATTTTATAATAATTTTAATGAAATAATATGAATTTTTTATAACTTTAATATTTTTTCCGGTCTATTTTTTCCGATTACCATTTTAAGTAATATTATTCTAACAAGCATCAGTTTTTTGAAACGATTTTTAAATCCTTTCAATGTAATAACCATTAATATTTGTAATTTTCTCACTCTCCGCACTCATACTGTCTGTGCAAAATTACAATGTCATTTTTAATTAATAATTACAATTATCTCATTTCTAGTATAGTCAATTGATTTCAAATTTCAACAGCACATGTAATCCGTAATTCATTACCCATATTTCAAATTTTGACAACTTTTTAAAATTTTGCATTTATGACCAAACTACTTTAAATTCCCTTTAAAAAAAAAAAAAGCAATTCCTCTTTAAAATTTAAAGGTAAAAGTTTATTTTATTGAGAAAAAGTTTTATTGAAATTTTTCCCTCCATTAATTGAATTAATTATTCAAAATATTTTAAAACAATGAATTAATGTTCTGAATCAGATTTCTCTTAAATTTATAATAACTATCGATTAATTTGATTGAATCTAAAAAACTTTTAAAATTACCATAAATATTATATATTAAATAAATTAAACTTTCATTCTTTAAATAATATTTATTGCAGTTAAAATTTTTGCAGAAACTGATTCTTATGTTAGCCTGGAAATATTAACAATTCAAGGTTATTGTTATTAGTAATAACTGCTCGTAATAACTACTAAGTAATGCTTAGTGACGGAAAGTGTAATTTTCATCTGTTAGACACTTATCAGGATTAGTAATAAAGCAAAAAGATAACAATCGCGTCACGCAATGGAAAGCGATGATAAAAGTTTTTAATTACAAGTTATTAGCATTCTCTTCGATTTTTACAGCTATTTTACTTTATGAGCATCCATACGCTGATCCAGATTGTTAAAAGTAATTTAATACTGCCAGATAGTAACGGGGTCATTTCGCCGAGGTCTAAGCCCCCTGGGGTTTTAATAATTTGCTTAACTACTTCAATATAACATCTGCATATTTACGTTTTTTACTCTTAATTAATGCCCTCGCTTAATCATACGCTATCGATCTACTGTCCAAAATTTACCTGAATAAATACGGAGTGTTCAAGTCTTTAGAGTCACGGTTGTGACTCGCACCAAGCGTATGACGTAATCAGTAGAGGGGAGACGTTCCTCCATGTTCTTACAAGAAACAATATTTACAATCAATTACTATAATTGCGCAAATACTTTGAGTTATTATATTTTATAAAAAAAATTCTAGTTTGCTTCTTTTTAATTTTTTATAGAATAAAAAGTAGAGCGAAAAATTTATAATAGTTTCAGATTCTTAAAATCAATAAAAACAATTATCTGACAGTCTCAATACTACAGATGTAATAACAAATCCCGTCTTATAAAATTGCTCGTTCGATTTTCGTCAGCGTTTCACGCAGGATAGCCTTTGCAATTTATGACGACTTAGGCGGAATTTTTAAATTATTATTTTTTTTTCTTAAAATAAATTTATTATAAGTATTTAGGCTGCTTTCAAAAATGTTCTGTCTCTAGATATATAATTAAGAAATGATCTTGTATCGTGTGAACTATTGACATTTTTAAAGATATAAGCTCATCCCGATGTTACACTCATCGAGAGCTTTGATTTGAATACCCACATGCATTTTCATATGTACATATATATATAAATATATAAAATATATGAAAAATTGATGTGGGTACTCAAATGAAAGGTCTTGATGAGTGTAACATCAGGATGAGCTTATATCTTTAAAAATGTCAATAGTTCACAAGATAACAAGGTCATTTTTTAGTTATGTTAAATTGTACTGTACTTTCTTAAATATTGACCTTTTTAAATATATAAGCTCATTCCGATGTTACACT